TTGGCCAGAGTTGCCACCAGGGAAAGCTGGGGAAGGCTAGCCTCCCACTAGTTCGAATTAAGGGGCTACACACCCCTTAATTCGAACTAGTAAGTTCGAACTAGGCTTAGTCCTCGTACAATGAGGTTTACCTAGTTCGAACTAAGCGCTCCGCTAGTTCGAATTAAGTTCGAACTAGCGGAGCGCTAGTGTAGCGCCTATCAAAGTTAATTCGAACTAACGTCCGGTAGTTCGAATTAACTTTGTAGTGTAGACATACCCCCACTGCTCCCACTCACCCACCCCAAGTCAGGAAGGGTCTGCAGGTGCCTTCCTCCTATGTTAAGAATTGCTCCATGCCAAGCAATCTTGCTTCGTCTCCTTTTGCCGCAAGTGGCGTCTCCTTGTGTGACCAACATTAGGTGGCCTTCGTTCTTCCTAATATGGCCACAGGACAAATTCCTGACATGGCAAATGAAGGTGGGCCTACCTAGCAAACACAAGGCTGTGAAGAGCCATGCATTTATATGTGATGTTTTATTTTGGTGACAATTTAAACTCCTTACTATTTGAAAATGAGCTGTGTCCTAAGGAGCATTACAGAGGTTTACACGAAACCCTCCCTTCCAAAATAGAAGCAGTTTGAGATGGTGAAGACAAAGACTCCAAAACTTGCCTGAACTTTTAGCTTCCCAGCCTAAATATGTGCTCCCAACCAACAACACCTCTCCTGCCACATATTCTGGTAAATAGGCCTGAAGGACAATGTGTATACCTAACTACTCATTTATTTTTTTTCCTCATTTCCAGATGAAATGGGAATGATTGTAGGAGCTCTTTGGTGGGTCATGAAGGAGATAACAGAAAGCAGGGGGATGCAAGAGAGGCAGATAGGTAGAAGGCCAAAGAGAGAGAAAATCTTGGTCCTATAGTCATGGCTTTGGCAGGGGTAATTGGATGCACCAGCAGTTACTTATGGCCTAGGAGGACAATATTAATTTGAGTTTAAAAATGCTGTTTCATTATATTCTCACTGAGCAAAAGCAAAGAATGATCTCTGTTAAGTACCTAGCCAAATGATAGCTTTATAGTAGTCAGTGTGTTTGAGTTCTGTGCTTTTCAAAGCCCTACTCTCTCACACTGTTGTTGCTGTGCTTTATTTAATGATGGGTGTGGCTTGCTTGTTTGCTCTCGCTTGTTAGACTATAATCGCAGTACGTCCCTCCCATTGCCCATCCATGGGGAGCAGGCTGGCAGTAGCAGTAGTGAACATGGCTCTGTGTCACCAGATTCTGATGTACAGCATGATGTGTTCTTTGAAAAGACAAAGCGATCTGTTTCTGAGATCCCAACAAAGCATCCTATTTCCCACTTACTGAGGTAAAGCTGTCTAATTGTTTCTGTCTTAGCCTCCACAAAGCTCATGCCGGTTAGAGTCACAATCATGTTTTATCCTAGGTAATTTGTGCATGGAACAAATAGATAACCAGATGTGTTCAGTAATTAAATCCATTGCTTAACCAGAAAATCTAACATGAGACTGGCCATACTGGGTCAGACCAAAGGTCCATCTAGCCCAGTATCCTGTCTTATGACAGTGATCAATGCCAGGTACCCCCAGAGGGAATGAACAGAATAGGGAATCATCAAGTGATCCATTCCATCACCCATTCCTAGCTTCTGATAAACAGAGGCTAGGGACACCATCCCTGTCCATCCTGTCTAATAGCCATTGATGGAGCTATCCTCCATGAACTTATCTAGCTCTTTTTTTGAACCCTGTTATAGTCTTGGCCTTCACAATGTCCTCTGGCAAGGAGTTCCAGTGGCCTAAAGCCTTGAGTGGATATAAAAATTGTATCTGTATCTGCAAAAATGAACCACAGATCCACATCCATAACTGCGGATGTAATTACCCATGGATAAAACATGGATATCCACAGATTTGCAGGATTCTAGATACAAAATTTGTATCTGCGTCCACATCTACAAAAATGAGTCACGAATATCCGCATCCATGGCTGTGGATACCTGCAGATGTCCACTGATTTGCAGGGCTCAACAGTGGCCCAGTTGGTTGTTTAGCAGGCTTCCTGCTTCTGATGCAGTTAAACATTTTTACTACTGGTTTTCAAATCTTTTGGGCAGCTGTTCTTCAAATTCCTTTTTTTCACTTTCCCAATTATATATTTATACTTTGTTTGCCAAAGCTTATGCTTCCTTTCTCTCTTCCTCGCTAGGATTAAATTTCCACTTTCTAAACAACACCTGTGTGCCTCACTGCTTCTTTTAATTTGTTGTTTAGACACAGTGACACTTCTTTGGTTTTCTTTTTTATGTTTTTTAATTAGGGGTATACATTTAAGTTGAGCCTCCATTATGGTAACTGTAAAAAGTTTCCATGCAACTTGCAGGGATTTCACTTTTGGCATTATATGCTTTAATTTCTGCTTAATTAACCTCATTTTTGTGCAGTTCCCTCTTCTGAAATTAAACAATACGCTGTTGGGCTGCTGTGGTGCTTTTCCTGCCACATGGACGCTAAATCTAATTATATTATGGTTGCTATTATCCAGTGGTCCAACTATATTCACCTCTTGGAGCAAATCCTGTGTTCCACTTAGAACTAAATCAGGAATTACTTCTCCTGCAATAGTCAGTTAAAGTGTCAAGAAATTTTATCTCTGCATCCCATCCTGAAGTGACATGTAACCAGTCAATATGGGGAGAGTTGAAATTCCCCATTATATATTATTTTTTTGTTTTAATAACCTCTCTGATCTCTCTGGGCATTTCGCAATCACTATCATCATCTGGTCAGGTGGCTGGTAATATATCTATACATTATTGTTTATTTTTTGTTGGGGGGGGGGTGATTGCTGAAATTCTGTGGTATAGTTGGATTCATTTTAAAATGTTGATCTCATTTGATTTTATGCTTTCTTTCACATATAGGGCACCTCTCCCACCAGCACAACCTGTTCTGTACTTCTGGTGTATTTTATATCCTGGTATTAGTTTGTCCCATTGATTATTCTTATTCCACCAAGTTTCTGTGGTTCCTATTATAGCACTATCTTCTTTTAATACATAGCACTCTAGTTACCCATCTTATTATTTAGACTTGTAGCACTGATATATACGCATTTTAAAAACGTGTTACTTTTTAGCTGCTGCCATTACACGATGTAACTGAACGGGACTCTTTTACGTTTGACTGTTTCTCATCAGATCCTGCCTGTAATTTATCATCTTCCATCTTCTTACTAGGACATAGAGAATCACTGTTCTCTAACGGATGTCTCTGTCTGAACCACATGCTCTTCTGCACCCGTCAGCTTTCCACCAGCTCTTATTTTAAAAACTGTTTTATGTTCTTTCTAATTGTAAGTTCCAGAAATCTGGTTCCATTTACGTTTAGATGGGGCCCATCCTTCCTGTATAGTCTCCCCCTTTCTCAAAAGTTTCCTCAGTTCCTAATAAATCTAAACCCCTCTTCCCTACAGCATCATTTGATCCATGCAGTTCTTATAGTATAGCTGGCCCTGCACATGGAACTGGAAGCATTTCAGAGAATGCTAGCATCGAAGTCCTAGACTTCAGTCTGTTACCTAGCAGCCTAAATTCAGTTTCCAGGACCTCTCTCCTATCCTTCCCTATGTCACTAGTACCTACGTGTACCACTGATTCCTTCCCACACTACACATAAGTAAGGATGTCAAAGAGTAGTGACTAGTCAACTACCCGATAAGCAGGAGCTTATCAGGTAGCCCTGTCGACCACTTGCTCATTCCCTCCCCCTCCCCTGCGTTTTTGAAGGGAAGCTGACAGGAGAGGACACTGTCTGAATTCCTGGCCCTAGGTCTCATCACACACACACACCCTACCCCTGCTCGCTGCCACTGCATTTTTAAAGGGAAGCCAGCACAAGGGCTGAGACCTAGGACCAGGAAGTCAGCCAGTGCCCTCTGAAGCCGGCTTCCCTTTAAAAATGCAAAGTGGCAGGTGGGAGTTGTGCTGAGACCCAGGACCGGGATTCATCCAGTGTCCTTTCCTGTCAGTTTCCCTTTAAAAATGCAGAGTGTCAGCAGGAGGTTGTACTGAGACTCAGCATGAGCCAGGAGTGAGCGCTGACACTGCCCTTCCTTATCGACTAATTGAGTAGTCGATGGAAATTCCATCGACTACTTGATTAGACAATTAACCACTACTTAACATCGCAACACACAAGTCTATTTAGACGCATTGAGAGATCTGCAACCATTGCACCTGTCAAGCAAGTCACCATGCAGTTCTCCCAGTCATTGTATGGAAATTCCATCGACTACTTGATTAGACAATTAACCACTACTTAACATCGCAACACACAAGTCTATTTAGACGCATTGAGAGATCTGCAACCATTGCACCTGTCAAGCAAGTCACCATGCAGTTCTCCCAGTCATTGTAAACCCAGCTATCTATGTTTCTAATAACCAAACTCCCCCATAACTTTTGCCTGTCTCCTCATGGAAATGAATTCCTTCCCCTGGAGAGGTATCCTTAGTGGAAGGGGATACCAAAACATCTGAAAGGAGCATCCCAAGATGGTTTCCCTCTGCTCCAGTGGGAATTTCTCCTTCCCTGAGATTTTCATTCTCCTCAACAGCACAGAGGCTGTCGGAGCGCTGCTGGGACCATTCTAGTGTGTCTCAGAAAGTCTCATCTGTGTGCCTCTCTGTCTCCCTTCGCTTCTCCAGTTTAGCTATTCTGATCTCCAAAGCTATTACAGGGTCTCTGAAGACCAGGAGCTCCTTGCACCGAATGCACACATATGCCACCTGCCCATAGGGCAGGTTATCATACAAGCTCCATTGGGTGCAATAAACTGGACAGCCCCTGCTCAGTTGATTTAAACATTGATTGTATTTAACTGATTCTTGGAGATTTCTGCCAAATGTGTCCAAGAATTATGCAGGTTTATAACAACAGATAAAACATGGGCCATATGGAGGCTCCAAAGCTCATTGGAGTCAATGGCAGTCTTTTTTGTTGATTTCAACAGGATTGATTCAGGTCCTTGAACAGTAACTGCAAGTGTTCCTTATATTAAATACACAAGATGAAGCCTGGGAAGAAAATAGTTTCCTGATCAGAGGAGAACATGAAACATGACACCTTCAGAAACATTTGTTTCAATGTTCGATCAGATTGAAATTCACTGTTATGCTCGTTCTGTTTTATTTTCACTTCTTGTTATTGACTGACTTGGTGCAGCAAACAAGGCCAGACTAAGTTGAAATAAACTGGTGTAGTTCCATTGGCTTGAGTGGAGTTTGATGAATTACACCATCGGAGGGTCTGAACAGTCTTTGACAATTATTCTGAAATGAGCATTGCAGTGACAGAAATAAGATGAGATTAGTACTGATTATTATTTATTCATCTATATAAATATTCCTACCCACTCCTCGCTGTTTGATATTTCTAATGCTTAGTTATGTCTTCAGCATCTTGTCTTGCCTTTGGTCTAGCATTCCTGATGAGAATTCTGCCTCAGAAGACCGGAGTGCTTCTCCTTCTCTCGAGGATAGAGATTCTGGACTCTTCCTGCTCCGGAAGGACAGTGAACGCCGAGCAATTCTCTATAAAATTCTTAAAGAGGAACAAAATAAAGTTGCTTCAAACTTACAGGAGTGTCTTGCCCAGGTAATATCATTTAAACTCTGTGTTTTGTGTTTAAGAAGGAAAATAAAAGTAGAGTAGAATTCCTCTTGTTTATGACAGATGAAAGGATACCTGTAGATGTTACCATTCACAGCAACTCATCCTTCCACATTCTAGGTTTATACCATGCCCCTTTTTGATGTGTACTAACTGGCAGTCACACCTGACTTTCTGTTTCTCTCACTGTCTTCTTACTAGAAGAGATTTCTGTAATGGAATGCTGAACTGATATAATATGCATAACATTCCTTATTTGAATGTGTAACAACTATAGGTGGCAGTGCATTTAAGGATCTTGTAGAACACACGTCTCATGTACCTGTCTGTATGGTGGAAGCTCTATAGCTGGTCCATATCTGGCTCAGGACACTGACCTGCTAGTAGCAATCTGAAATCTGTTGTGTTCAAGGATTACATGACATGTGATTTCCATGACAAGTGCTTTCTCATTTAAGCACAAGAGAGTCTTAGGCAGGCAGAATGTAATTATCCAAACTGGACAGGAAACTCTTGGGGTTGTGAACTTATTTGTATGAGAAGCTCAAAGGATGGTATACACTGTACCAGGGTTTTGATTCAGTGTTCAATCAAAAGGAAGGGCACCATCTTCTGAATCATCAACATATGAACCTCAGCTAACCAAGTGTTTAGCAAAGCACTTGAGCAACCAAGGGTAAAAATGCCTTCCTCTCAGGGACAAAACCTACCTGAGGAGCTAGACTGTGTGAGCAAGAGATTTCTACAGTTGCTGGAGGGAAAGAATTCTTTACTTCAAGCCACAATGATTATGTTCACTGCAAATACAAATCCATGACTGGCCTGTGCCAACTGTCTTGGGCTGTGGAGCTCATACTAAGGGGTAGAGTCCCAGAGCTTGTGCTGCTGTCTGAGCCCAAATGTCTACGCCACAATTAAACAATCCCTTAGCCAAAGCCTGAATCAGGTTACATGGGTCAGCCACAGGTTTTTAATTGAAGTGTAGACCTATTGATTGTGAGTGTGCAGCCACAGGTTTTTAATTGCAGTGTAGACCTATTGATTGTGAGTGTTAAGTCACTATGTAGTGCCATTGCTCAGTGGAGAACAGTGAGTGTAGAGGTAGTTCAGACTTCACCTTGCCTCATTCTCTGCCCATAAGCCATTGCTTGCATAACAAAAAGCACAGAGCCTACCCTCACTGTGCTGAGTCGAATAGACTTCCAAGAAAACTGCAACTATCCTGTTATGTTTGAGGACTTATAGTGATAGGGGCAGAAATATCCTTTTAATGCAGAAAATCTCCAGTAATATGAGAACATCAGTGGTCGCATAAAGGTAAATGAATTAGACTTGGATGAGAAGCCAATTTTGATTTTTTTTAAATAGAAATTTTTGAGGCTTTCTTTGGTTGTTTTCGAGTTAAAAATTTGCCAAAAACACACCAGATATGTTGAAGAGCTCTTAACATAAACAGCAGCTGGGTTCTTTACATAATGTTTCTATTCTGAACCAGTGCAATTAAGTTGCAAGCAAGAGAACAGAAGTAAAATGTATGATCAGATATGTATGAAAATGATGGTTTGTTTGTCTCTTTCTTGTGCATTTTTGTGTTGTATAATCCTCCCCCACCCAAAAGTAGTGATGAATGAATTGGTTTAAAGTTCTGCCTTCTGTTGCACATGAAAGCATATGACATCTTTGAAAACTGCCATCTTCATTTCTAGGGATGTGAACATCTAGTCAACTATCGGATAAGCAAATGCTTATCGGATAGTTGACTAGTCGCTTCATCCCCCCCGGCTGCCTCTATCAGAAAGAGGCAGCAAGGAGCGGGGGGGAAGAGATGGGTGTGCTTCAAAGCTGCAGCACTGTGTGGAGCCTGGGCTCAGTTGGGGACTCCCCTGCTGACCTTGGGCTCCATGTACCACTGCCGCTTTGAAATGCTGCAGGAACCAGTGGGGGACTGCTTGAGCCCTCCACTGGCCCTGTGCTCCCCACAGCGCTTTCGCCTTTGAAGTGTAGCCACAGCCCTGGGGTTGTTGCTAGACGTCAAAGGCGGAAGCGCCCTTATTGACTATTCAATTAGCCAAATAATCGAAATTTTACATCCCTATTCATTTCACTGGTCAATGTAGCTCTCCCTGGTCATCTGCATTTTTCTCTGATACAGATCAAACTAAATTCTATTAGAGCAGCACAGAGGGAGTCCAGGTAAAATGCTGGGTGGTGTCTTGCCCTGCATCCTTTCTAGTGCACAGGCCTATTCCACAGTACTAAACATCGTTGACATGACAACAGTGGTTTGGTCTGACTTGTTGATCCAAGTTCAGCCTTAGTGTATGCAGGTGTAACTCTATTGCACTGTGTTAGAATTTAGCTCATTCTGTGTCCTGCCTTAACAGTCTACTTAATCATGCAGTGCAACACTGACTGCATGTCTAGCAGAAAGCTGTCTCTGATGCAGTTGCAGTGAATCAGTAGAATTAAAGGAGAAGCCTATTGAAATGGAAATGAAGCAAAAACCCATATTATGCTGGACTTTCATGTGTTCATCATTCTCTCCGTATACACAGAGAAAAGAAAATATAAAAAGTACTGACTAAACAATTAAGTATCCTCTCTCTTTGCATTACAACCCTTGATTTTGTTCTCTCACATTACCATTACAGTATATATGATTCTTAAGGCTTGGCAAGGGCAGAGAATACAAGTTTAGTAAGCCTAGCAGATGTGTGATTAAAGCTCCGTCACTTGTGTATGGTTGTGTGAGAAAATATAAACTTTAACCCTGTAACATTAGCTCTGCTAAACAGTTAGGGTACGTCTAGACTACAGGCTTTTGTCGACAGAGGCTTTGTCGACAGATACTGTTGACAAAGCACATCTAGACTATATTCAGTTCTGTCGACAAAGCAAGCCGCTTTGTTGACATGAGAGTGTAGATGCAAAGGACAGAACTCTGTAGACAGAAGGCGTTTTTCCTCGTAGAATGAGGTTTACCGCCATCGACAAAACTGCCGAGTTCTGTCGACGTTATGTCGACAGAACTCAGCGGTAGTGTAGATGCAGGTATAGTTTTGTCGACAAAAGTCCACTTTTGTCAACAAAACCCTGTAATCTAGACACACCATTGGTTCTTAGATGCAGAGGATTTATTGTTTCCTTGTGTGAGTCTTGATGTAATACATTGAATGCCTTTGCACCAGAACGCTGAAGAACTACTACTTTCAGACAATCACATCAAGCAGATAATTGGCATTTTAAGGGACTTCATACGCTCTCCGGAACACAGAGTGATGGCATCCACAATATCCAAGCTAAAAATGGATTTGGATTTTGACAGCAGTTCCATCCATCAGATTCACCTGGTGCTGTTTGGATTTCAGGATGCGGTAAGTCCTCCATTTGTCAGCAGAAACTAGAAGCAGAGGGAGAGGCATTCCACTTGACTATGTATTCCTTGTATTCCTCTTCTTACTCCCAGGGCTCTTCTGGCTGAACCCCTGCTGTGTCTCTCTGCTTTCCTGTTCCCCATCCCTGCTTGTTCCTAATGGTCCCCTCTGGACAGCTATTCACTCCTTAAGCTACTTTGGGGCCTTATGTGTGATGTGTTAGAAGAGCTGGGGGTGTTGGGTGAGTGAGAGAGGTAACTGGGGTTGGCGAGCCAGGAGGTAAGAAGGGGTGTGTGGTCGGTGTTGTTGGGGTTGAGGGAGAAGAATCTGTTTGTAGGAGACCCAGGTAGTGGGGAGCACAGCTGTGTGGACAGCCTGGGTGAGGAGGAAGCCCAGTGCTTCTGTGCTGAACAGTCAATGCTAAATGGTCTCTCTTGAGGAGGCAGCAGCAGCAGCAGCAGCCATTGCTACCTGGCATACTGAGCACTAGGCAGAGCCCTGGATGCATGGAAATTAGGGGTGTCAGCATGTAATTGACTAGTCAACCGATAAGCATCAGTTAATCCTATCAGCACTCCCCTCCCCCTTGCTGCCTCTGTATCAGACTAAACTGGAGAGAGTCTAAACAACTTGTGTTCTAAACTGAGAGCATATTGTTAGTCTTACATAATATTAATTTTATTTATTATGGCTACAAATGCGTGAGATCCATTAGCAGCTGCTGAGAGCACTGCATTCTGCATTTTATTGGCAAATGGGAAATTTGGAAGTTGTTGTCCATGGGCTGTTGGAGTCTGAACTCAGTGTATAATAATTTTAGTCTCAAAGAGGAGAGGGCTGTGCTGGATTCTACAATACAGATTCCCATTAATTTACAGCACTTGATCTGAATCTTTACAAAACAAAGTTTGGTCAGTGCTGTCTAAGTCCTTTGCTGATGCTTTTGCTTATTTCTATATTCATAGGTGAACAAAGTATTAAGGAATCATTTAATTAGGCCTCATTGGATGTTTGCAATGGATAACATAATTCGCCGCGCAGTCCAAGCAGCAGTCACTATTCTTATCCCAGGTAAATCAAAACAAGTCAGTTCTTGTTTCTAAATGAAATGCTTCCAAAGTACATCATATACGGTTTCACTTTCTTTCCAGCTGATTGATCCATCTCATTCCTGAAGTTTGTTAATAGGGTCTGGAGTGATTACGCTTCAGCTGGAGGCAGGGCGGTGGACAGGGGCTACATCTCTAGACTATGGGGTTTTTCCAGAGGTATCCCAGAAAAACTCTGCTGCATCCAGGGAACAAGTCTCCTCTTCCGCTTTTTTCTTCAGAAGAGCCAGACGCGCTCTTTCAGAAGCCCTGTCTTCCTCCTTCCATGAGGAAGGGCTCTTCCAAAAGAGGAGGTTTTTCCAAAATTTGGCCCAGTGTAGATGGGCAAAATTTTGGAAAAGCCTCTTCTGACAAAACTATCGGAAAAAGGTACGCAAATTGCAGTCTAGACGTAACCAGGGATCGCAGTTTTTCAAGTTACTAGCAGACAAGGCTGGATGGAGTGAATTGGATTTACTCATTTGTACTCTGCAGTACTCATTTGTACTCTGGGGAAACCTAATTCTTTTGGAGCCAGGCCATAATTTAAACCAAGGAAGGGGGAGTGCTTCATTTGATGGTCTCTGTGGGTATTCCATTTGAGGTGCGCATGCGCTCCTTACACTTGAGACTGACTTTATTATTAGTGTCCATTGGTCCAGTCTGCCTTCCCCTTGTGCTCCCACCTGAGAGTACAAGTAACAGGGTAGACCAGCTACCTCTCTAGTTCGTTTCTATAACCTGTGCTCTGAGGCGGAGCTCCTTCAGCGTCCACTGCTTTAAGTGCTCTTTGTTTTAGTATAAAGAGTTGTAAATGGTGTGTTATACACATTTCTTCTAGAGTTAGTTAGTTTTAGGAGCCATTGTTTGGGAGTACCTTTGCACTCCCCATGCCAACGTAGGTTATCCCTAACATCCAAAATGCCAGGATTCAAGGTCTCCATGGTCTGCTTCTAGGCCTTCCTGGTCAGTGACAACTACAACATTTGTCTGTATTGCTTCAGGGAAACTCATATCTCCTCCAAATATGTAGGCAATATCCTCCAAATATCTCAGCAGGCCCACTGATGGGGGTGGAGAAAAGGGGGCAACTGCTCCAGGCCCTTTAAATCGTTGCTAGAGACAATGCAGCATGCCCCAGATGACACTGAGGGCTGCCTGGGGGAGGCTGGCCCCAGCCCCATCCTCATCTGGGGGCGCAGAACGATATCTCCCAGCTTCACTGTTTGTCAGTCTTTCCCTCACTCAACCCACCAATCCAGTAAGTTCTGACTTCAGACATTGCTGATGGATTCCTCAAAAAAGCCCCAGTCCAACCTTGACCCATCAGACCCCTGTGTACATTGGGGTGAGGCAGCGAGGAGCACTCTTTGAGTGTGGTTGTGTCTGCACTAAGAGCAGAATTAAGGACTCTGGTGAATAGGCAGACATGAGAAGTGTAAGAGTAAACAATCTCACAACGACCTGCGTAAGAAATCCCCCTCTTAGTCCTCATCGAAGGAGAAGACTTCTTCTCCGATGCAGTCTGCGTTGAATGAGATTCTGCACCCCAGTACTGGTGTGTTGCACCCCAGTACTGGTACAGTACCAGTTCTGTGTCTCTAAGAGGCAGAAGTGATGCAAGGCCATCAGCCACTGAAGGAGTGGGAGCATTCTGTGTACCCATGAGCAAAAGGTGTGAGTGAACAACTCCTATGCCAGTGCTGACTTAGATGGAAAAGGATTCATTGGTTACTGAAAACCACTGTCTGCTCAAAACTAGCACCACCAGCATCAGTGGTCAGATATGCTATCTTGGAGACTCTTACAGTCTGTGCAGATCACTGATACTGCCTCCACACCATTGTTTTGTCACTCATTGGTACCGTCTACCAGTGGAAGCATAGTATGACCATCACTGCTACCAACAGACCTGCCTATAGACACACAGGCCTCGTGCTCCTCCAACAAGCCTAGGATCAGTGGAGAAGAGCTAACCAGTCTTATCAAAACGGGAAGTTAGCTTCAGCAGAGAGTCTAAAAATCTAATGGGCTGGGCACCTTCTCACTCCCACAAGACCTGGCTTGAGACTAGTGATGACTAGACATAATTTCTAGAACTCCTAAGGAGAGCTGCTGAGATACTGCCTATCCCTCTGGAAGAAGCATAGGTTACCCTTCCTAAACTACTCAATATCCTTCAAAGTGCAGATCTTAGAAATGTAACATTGCCAGTCAGTGGGGCTATATTAGGACCAGCTAAGATGGCCTGACATACCAGCCCTCTGGTTCCCACTCTGAAAAGAACAAAGGGGAAATACTGTATACTGTTTACAGGGGCAGAATATTTATTCTTGCATCCCACTTCGAACTTCTAGTGGTGCAGGCTGTTACTGAAAGTAACAAGCACCATCAATCTAGATCTACACCCAAAAAATAAGGAGGCCGTATGTCTAGACTTCCTGGGGAGAAATAACTTCACTTTCACAAGTTTACAGATTTACGTAGCAAACTACCAAGCTTTAATGGTGAAGTATGAGTTTATAATCTAAATTTGCCAACAGGCTGCCTCAAACACACAGACTTCCGTTCCAAGCAATCATCAGAGAAGGTAAATTGTTAGCCAGGTCAGCCCTCCAACTCTTTATAGATACAGCAGACACAGCCTCTCCCACAGTGCACCATGTGTAGTCATGAGATGGGCTTTGTGCCCCCAGTCCTACCGATTTCCCAGTGAAGCTAAATCAACCCTGGAAGATCTGCCTTTTAAGGGAAAACCCCTATTTATTGAGAAGATGAACGAACCATTATACATTCTCAAATATTCAAGAGCTACACTCTCTCCCTTCTCTGCTCACAGAGACTTTGTAAATAGATTTTAGCCTGCATTTTGCTTTGCTATGAGTTGACTGCAAACTCCTCCACAGCATGAGAGAACACTTCTAACCAGAGCCCATTGTACATCTCTAACTTCACTCTAAGTCCCTCTTCTAGAGATTTACAGAGTAGCAGTGTGGGGCTCTGTGCCTATCTTTGAGATATTTTGCCTTGCCACATGCTTCTACAGAAAACATATCCTTCAGTTTGTGGTACAACAGGGTTCCTCACAACGTTCCCCACCCTGCTTGTGAGTCCCCTCAGAAGGAAGACACGTAGAGATCATCATTCAAACAACAGTCTGGTTGCCTGCCTTGTACAGTAACTGGAGATCTTCGTGATGTGTTTCTCTGTGTATTCCACTACCCACCTTTCTTCCCCTCTGCTCCATATACTTATCCTTAAAGTTGTTTGGGATAGAAAAGAAACTGGAGATATAGTCTATCCACATCACCCCTTATGCCCTTGGTTTGGCACAGAATGGTGCATGAGCCAATTAACACTGCTAGTGAAACATTTTCTGGTCTCAGGCACATGGAGCTCATGTGCGGCTCAAGAGGAATACAAAGAGGTACATCTTGAAGAATGCCAGTTACTGCACAAAGTAAGTAATCAGACTTTACTGGAATTCTCCTTCCTCTAAAAGCAGCTCTGTCTCCATTTCCCCATTATATAAACAAAATCCTGAGTATCTACCCATCTGTCCATGCTATTTATTACTTTTGCTACATCACCAGTGCATCTGTCATATTATAGACAAGTAAGATTGTGAGCGAACGCCACGCTAACAGGGACCTATCCACAGATGACTGCACTACTCTTCTCACTGGTGTTATTTAACCCTATTTAGAAATGGTACCACAGAGTCTGTGGTCCAGTTAATACAAGAAACAAATGCTATCTTGTGCTAATGCTTGTCAGGGTTACATTTTACTCCCCGCTACTGGTACGTGCCTTATTAAATTCCATATCTAAGTGTACTCCACATAGGAAACTTCAGGATGAAATCTCATTGCTACTTTATTCAGCTGAGGCAGCTTTTTTCAGTTAAAGAGGAAAATGCCACCCATTTAGATGTCCAGAAAAGGCGTTGCTTTCTTGTGATTTCCACTTTCGCTGCCTCCAAAAAAGAGCCAGGGTGTGAGATACTGTATTGACTTTTTCATTGATCTGTGCAGAGCTTCAAGCTCACTTTGAGCCAGCTTCAGAGACTGAAGCTGTGGAAAAAGATGCCGATGAAGTGGAAGATGATTACCAGCCAATGGAACAAAATGGAAATGAGGAGCCAGTTGTCACGTCTGGAGTGAGCACACTCAGTTCTGTGGTGTCACATGAATCACAGCAGCAACAGCTTAATCTGCAGCTAGCCAAACTTAAACAAGAAACAAACAGGTAACCTCTATGTTTATGTTTAAATAGATGACTAGGAATCTGTTTATTCCTAAACATATTTTCCTCCAAGCACAGCGTTCTCTAGTCAGAGTAGAATTTGCAGGAGTTCACATAGTCCCCAAAGGGTACTCAGTAATATATCTAAGCACTTGTATAACTTTAACCAAATCCAGCTTACAGTTTACAGAAAGAACACAGAAAAAATGTTGGGAGTACCATTAAGCCAGGAGTCGCATATTCCCAGCCTGCAGGCCAGTCCTGGGCTTGGGACTCCCAGTGGGCTGGGGGAGGGCTGTCCATTAGTGGCCCCCAAACCCTGCCCCTTCCCACCATTTCCCTACCCTCTTCCCCCCATGGTATCCTGTCCCCCAAGGACACAACTTGGGGGATCAGTGGGGAAGCCTGGTTGTGGCGTGACGGCAGCAGTCACACTCCAAGCCCCCATAGCGGTAGGCGTGTGCCCACCTAGTGCCCGCTGTTTCCCCGTGGCTGTGGAGAGTGAAGGCAAGAGGGGGAGGCAAGACCATGGCCACCAGGCCACAGCAGGCCTCCCCATTGATCCCCAGCATCCCCATGCTCAGGGAATGGAGAGCCATGGGGAGGAAAGGGCAGGATGATGGTGGGAAGGGACAGGACTTGGCACCAGTAACAGACAGGGATCCCCTCCCCTAGAGTTCACCAGAGACTGCACAATTTCTCTGGCCAAGACTGGCCTGTAGGTTGGGAGTTTGAGACCCCTGCACTAAGCATTGACATGCTTTTTATTTTAAATACGTGTTCTCAAGTAAGGGTGCCAGACACTGGATAGTAAATATAAGTATAGGATTCCCAATGTGATCTGAACTTCAGTTTTCTCACTGCACTGTGGAGTAGTGGGACATAAAATGAAAATTCCCCATTTACCAAATGTGTCTAAATTTTACATCCGAAAATTCCAGATAATCATGTACAATTATTGGTCTACGAACTCTGGTTCCCTGCCACTGTGTGTTATATCTTATTTGCATTAAACCACTCAGACTGTTTTGTATATCCATATACAGTAGGACTCACTTCAGTCTCTTGGCCCCAATAACAAGTTCCAGTTCTTTCAGGAATTCTTGTCTGATTAAAAAAGATTGAGGAAAAATCTGGTATCTTGATAGTAGATGACACTTTAAAAGCTGCAGTGGGGTCACCATAGGCTTAATAGGGGATTACACAGTAAAATAAGGAATGCATCGTTATTGAATTATTTAAACTTTGGGATCTCTGGGGACCAGCATAATAAAAAAAAATCAATCGGGATTGGGTCCTGTCAACCTGGTGCTGTTGCAAACATAAATAGATAGTCCTTCATGAAGGGAAAAACTCAGTATTGATGTCAAAATTGGTATAGATGAAAGAATGATTCTTTACCCCACAGTCACTGTGGTTACTATAGAGAGAGACCTGTAGTTCTTTGCGATTTGTTTTCTGTATATATTCCACTTCAGGTGCACTCATGTGCATGAGATTGGACTCTTGAGTAGCAACATCTGTTGAGGCTGTATATGTGTCCTCTGCTTCATAGCTGTGTGTAAAGAATGTGACCGTTGCCACTGCTTTACAATTCCTTCACTAAATCCTGAATTCAACGGGGCAAGGGTAGTAGAAGTAACTGGGAAAGAGGGTGGGCCAAGAAATGCATGTCGACAATATATCCCAAGGAAAAGAATTACTAGTTTTGTAACTAGTGTTCTTCTTCGAGTGATTGCTCATGTGTATTCCAGTTAGGTGTGTGCACGCAGCGTGCGCTCGTTGTTGGAAGTTTTTCCCTCAGCAGTGCCCTTAGGCCAGCGGGGAGCCCCCTGGAGTGGTGCCGGTATATCGGCCCATATATACCACTTCTGGCCCCCTCACCCCTCAGTTCCTTCTTACCGCCATAACAGTCCTTGGAACAACCCTCAGCTTGTCTAGCGATAATTGTCTTCGGTATTGTTCTCTGTTTCTTCAGTTAGCTTAAGTACAGAGAGTTAAGTTAAAGACTCTTTTGTTGTTTGCTGTTTTTGTTGCTGTTCCCCGCCGCGGCGCGCATGCCCGGCCTGCAAGACTTTAAGTCCTGCAAAAAGTGCCACAAGCCTATGTCCCGTGCCAATCCTCATTCCTCGTGTTTAAAGTGCTTGGGAGAGATGCACCTCACGGAAGCCTGCAATATCTGCAACGCATCTAAGCCGTGAACGAAATGCGAGAGAGTCGCATCTTAAGATCATATTGAGGCGGCTCTCCAGCCGGTACCGGCACCGGAGTCAGCACCGGGTCCTCAAAGCACACCAGTGTCAGTGTGGGACTCCCCCCTGCACCGTGCCTCACCAGCACCGCAGAGACCTCAACACCGGTCTCAGTCTCCGGCACCGCAGAAGAGGAGGAGGCCTAACGGAATGGTCCCCTGCTAGACACATGCCCTCCGTGCACCCTTCAATGGGGGACGCGGCGCCGGCAAGTCCAGAGCCCGGACCTTCCAGGTTGGGTGGACTTTCCTTCCAGCATAGGGAGCCGAGCCTCTCCCTCCCAGCTTCACCGGCACTGCTCACAGCACTGACCGGCGGTGCACCCCTACCCATGGTGCCTTATCAAGAGGTGGCACCGGATACACCGTGGTACCATGCCCTGGCACCAGGTCACACCGTTCCAGCATCTACCTCTGCACTGGATGTCCGGACCACCATGCTACCACCTCCGCCTCGGCACCGTGGAAAGCCAGAATCTATGACTAGGCACGCAGCTGCTCCGCGGGTGTGTGTCGGCTCCTCCCTGGTCTGCCTAAGAGTACACGTCTGACTCTGAGGCAGAATCCATCTGGTCTTCTCGGGGCTCCCGGTCCCAGTCACGGCACCGCTCCCATTTGCGGCACTGCTTTCGGCACCATAGTCCGCCTCATCCATACCAGCAGCAATGGCCACAACCAGTCCCGGTGCAATAGTGGCCTCCTTAACCCAGAGCCCAGTGGCCATTCTGGACTCCTAGAGCGTATCACCAAGCCCAGGGAAACCCCCCCTTCCAGGTCAGCTTCGGTCACAGTGGGTCCTCAGGCCCCTCGCACTGGCCAGTCATTGCCCCCAAGCAAGCCGTCTCCTGGTCCTTCGGGGAGTGCGGCTCCGGTGAGCTAACTTCCCCCACCCTCATCTGCTAATAAACCACAGGAACCGACACTCTCAGGAACATCTGTCAGAGAAGTCTGAAAGGGATCATTGTCCTCCTCCCCTGACGAGGCTCTGGGAGACTCTGGGCCATCCATGGCCTCTATGGACTACAGAGCCCACCAGGGCCTCCTCCAACGTCTGACCCAAAGTTTGGGAGTCCAGAAGGATAGGGTGTGTGATGACTCCGATCCCACGGTGGACATCCTCCACACAAATGCCCCCTCTAGAGTGGCCCTCCTGATTAACAAAATGGCCAAGACCTCCAAAGCCTTGTGGCAGACTCCCGCGTCCATCCCTCCTATTGATAAGTGGGCCGAAAGGAGATACTTTGTCCCCCAGGAGGGTAATGAGCATCTTTTTTCCCACCTTCCACTGGGCGCTCTAGTGGTACAAGCTGTGAACCAAAGAGAAAGGCAAGGTCAGCCTGCCGTTGTCCCTAAGAACTGGGAGGCCCAGAAAACTGACCTGCAAGACTGGAAAGTCTATCCGTCTGGTGGTATCCAGTACCGCATTGCAAACCAACAGGTCCTGGCATGCGTTTAACACCTGGGCCTCGATGGACAAATTCACGGACCTACTTCCCCAAGATTCCAGTGCAGAAGTCAGAGCTCTCCACGAAGAGGGGAGAGAGATTTCCAGGGCGGCTCTCCAGGCGGCTCTAGACGTGGTGGACTCTGCTGCCTGAGTAATGGCCTCCGGGGTGGTCTTATGCTGCAGCTCCTGGCTACAGGGTTCTGGGGTTCCCCTAGAGCTCCAGAACACCATACAAGACCTCCTTTTTGAAGGCGCCTCGATTGTTTCTGAGCAAACTGATCAGAGGCTCCATGGCCTGAAAGACACCCGTGCTACCCTAAAATCATTGGGCATCTACACCCCGGCTACCCAGAGGTGCTCCTTCCTCATTAGGAATGTTCCTAGAGCACCTCCCCAGGGTCCACATACCGACTTCTCCTGCAATAGGAGCAGAAGCGGTAACTGCAGGAACAATAGGTGCTGCCCTCGCCTGACCCCAGATCACAACCAGGGGTCCCCCAACAAACCCTCCAGTCCACATGAGGGGTTTTGATGGGACCTACGAGGGCAACCTTCCAGTCTCCCCATTTCTCTTCCAGGACTGTTTATCCCACTTTACCCCAGCCTGGCGGTCTGTCACTTCTGATCGCTGGGTGCTCGAGATAGTGGAAAGGGGTTATGTAATCCCTTTCCACTCCCCTTCCTAACCCCCCTACCCTGTCCCTTTTTCTGGGACCCCTTTCACGAGCCACTGCTTCAAGAGGAGGTCCAACATCTCCTTACGATAGGAGCGATAGAACGCGTTCCCCCTGAGTTTCGGGGGAAGGGGTTCTATTCCCATTACTTTCTGGTCCCAAAGGGGTCTGCGTCCCATCCTGGACCTAAGAGCCCTCAACTCCTTCATCACCAAAGCAGAATTCAAAATTGTAACATTGGCGTCCATAATTCCCTCACTAGCCCCCGGAGACTGGTACAGTGACCTTGACTTAAAAGATGCTTACTTCCACATTCCCGTTTCCCCCCACCACCGCAAATTCCTCAGATTTACTGTGGGCCCGGACCACTACCAATTCATGGCCCTCCCATTTGGTATTTCCGTGGCCCCTCAGCTCTTCACCAAATGTATGATGGTGGTAGCCGCTGCACTCAGAAAAAGGGGTATCCAGGTGTTCCCCTATCTAGACGACTGGCTCCTGAAGGGGGACTCAGTCGTACGTGCAAACCCATATCACTGTAGTGCACGCACTTTTCAACGATCTAGGTCTTTTGTTAAAGTTGGACAAGTCAATCCTAGCACCCACTCCAATAATAGAGTTCGTGGGAGCCACCCTGGACTCTACCTCAGCAAGACCCTCCCTACCCAATTCCCGGTTTCTCACGATAGAGGTGGCAGTCAGGGACTTTCTGGAACTCCAGAACTTTCCAGTGACCACCGCCCGGACTTGCATGCGCCTCCGGGTCTCATGGCTGCCTGCACTTATGTAGTGCAACACGCCAGGTTGCGCATGCGCCCACTACAGATGTGGCTATCATGAATCCACAAACCAGTCATCCATTCATGGGACAGGGTGGTAATGGTCCCTGCTCCTGTCCTCCTTGAGCTGAACTGGTGGACTAACCAGGCAAAGGTCTTCACAAGGGTACCATTTTCCAGGCCGGTACCATCCACCCACCTTGTCACGGACGCCTCGGACACCGGCTGGGGAGCCCACTTGGGAGACCTTCACGCACAAGGTATGTGGTCTGTGGACGAGATCTCCTGGCATATCAACATCAAGGAGCTCCGGGCAGTCTGACTGGCTTGTGCGGTTTTCCTTCCCCACCTCGGGCAAGTCTATCCTCATCCTATCGGACAACACGACAGCAGTGGGGTATATAAACAAGCAAGATGGGGCCCATTCACCTGTGGGAACTTTGCATCGGGGCGGATATCCACCCAATGGCCTCTTACCTCCCCGGTTCCCAAAACTTCCTAGCAAACAAACTGAGCAGGTCCTTTGCAGGACACGAATGGTCTGCACCATTAGGTGGGATGTAGCCCAATCTGTCTTCCATGCATGGGGGTCTCCCCATCTGGACCCCTTCACCACAGGGCAGAACAGGAAGTGCCACCAGTTCTGCTCCCTCATGGGACAGGGCTCACTGGGAGATGCTCTCCTTCTCTCCTGGCTGCAGGACCTACTATACGCCTTCCCACCATTCCCACTAATCCATAAGGTTTTACTCAGGGTGCAGGAGTTCAGAGCATCCCTGATTTTAATTGCCCCAGCCTGGCCCAGGCATCATTGGTTCTCAACCCTCCTCAATCTGTCATGCAAGAGACCCATGACCCTCCCGTTGCTCCCAGACCTGATTACTCAGGACTCAGGCAGGCTCTGCCACCCGGACCTGCACTCGCTGCATTTGACAGCGTGAAAGCTCTGTGGCTAACAGCTGAGGAACTTTAGTGCTCAGAACGGGTCCAGGAAGTCCTACTGGGTAGCAGGAAGCCCTCCACTAAGACCACATACTTGGCTAAGTGGAAATGGTTCTGTATCTGGGTTGCCCAGAAGGGAGTAAACCCAAGGCAAACTGCAATCCCCTTGATCCTGGATTACCTGTTAGACCTCAGGCTCCAGGACCTCTCTTCCTCTCCCATCAAGGTTCACTTGGTGGCCATTTTGGCCTTCCACCCAGAGGAAGGGGGGAAAACTCTGTTTGCTAACCCAATGGTCAGCAGCTTTCTGAAAGGGTTGGACAGGCTCTACACGTCCACCAGTGGGACCTAACCCTGGTCCTTTCCAAAGTTATGGGACCCCCATTTGAACCTTTAGCGACGTGTTCCCTTCTATACCTGTCATATAAGGTGTCTCTCCTGGTGGCACTCTCATCTGCCAGGTGGATATCCGAACTCAGGGCGCTCACCTCAGATCCCCCCTACATGGTGCTTTTCAAAGACAAGGTTAGGCTCTGATCCCACCCAGCTTTTCTGCCCAAGGTGGGGTCGTCTTTCCACATCATCCTGCCGGTCTTTTACCCCAAGCTACGTGCATCTGGGAAGGAACAGGCTTTACACACTTTAGATGTGTGCAGGGCAGTAGCTTTTTACTTAGACAGGACAAAACCATTCAGGAAGTCACAATTCTTTGTGGCCATCGCTGAATGGGTGAGGGGTTAACCCGTGTCCTCCCAGTGGATCTGCTCCTGGATAACCGCTTGTATCAATGAGTGCTATGTCCTAGCGGGTGTACCAGCTCCACCCCTTAGACTGCACTCCACGAGAGCCGTGGCAGTCTCCACCGCATTCATGGCAAAGGTTCCTATCCTGGACATCTGCAGAGCCGTGACATATCCATACCGTTGCCAATCACTATGCTAACGCATGAAGCCAGGCAGGGCGGTCCTCCACTCCTCTGTAGCTTCACCAGCTGGCCCTCCTCCATAGGTTCTGCTTTGGCGTCACCTAATTGGAATGCACATTAGCAATCACTAGAAGAAGAAAGAACAGTTACTTGCCTTGTAACTGTGAATCTTTGAAATGTGTTGCTCATGTCCATTCCAAATCCCCGCCCACCGCCCTTTCTCCACAATATTCCAGTAAGTAGAAACTGAATGGGTGAGGGGGCTAGCAGGGGTGTATATATAGGCCAATATACCGGCGTCACTCCAGGGGCTCCCCGCTGGCCCTAAGGATACTGCTGAGAGAAAAACTTCTGATGACGCATGCACGCTGCGTGCACACACCTAATTGGATTGGACATGAGCAACACGTCTCGAAGAATCAGTTACAAGGTAAGTAACTGTTCTTTCTTTGATATATGTTGCACATGTCCATTCCTTGTTAGGTGTATGTACTCGCCCATGCATGGTATGGGAAGGTTTTCCCTCAGTGGTAGCAGAGGACTACCAGCTCTGGTGCTCTCTGGAGTGGTGCCAATATGGTGTGGTATAAGGGACACCATCGGCTTCCCCCATCCTTCGTTCCAGCTTGCCAGAAACTCTGACAGCAAAGGAGAAAGGCAGGTCCTGAAATGGACATGAGCAACATATCTCGAAGAACACCAGTTACAAAACAGGTAACTGTTGTTTTTGAGTGCTTGTTCATGTCCATTCTTTAAGGCTTTGTCCTCGTTGCAGGGTTTTTGCTGAAGAGATCTTCCATAAAAACATTTTGCACAAAAACCTGTCCACACCTCAATGTGCTTTTGCACATCCACACTGCATGATGGATGCTCTTGTGCAAAAAAGCTGATTGCCATTAACAGAATGGTCATCAGAGCACCTGTGCTTTTTTCGATATGCTCTTTTTGCACAAGAAACCCCCTGCGGAGCGTCCACACATGCCTTTTTGTGCAAGAGCTGTATAACTCTACTGGCAAAAGCCCTCTATCCTGTCGATTTACTGTTGTTGGTTTTTGTGCAAAAACAGCCATTTTTTTGCAAAAACACCTTGTAGTGTAGACATAGCCCAAGTGACTCCTAAGCGGTATCAGTGGAAGTGAGTATGAGTTCATAGATGTGAAACTTGTAGCACCAGTGTCTTTTCTGGCCTGCTGAGAGATGGCATAATGTGCTGTGAATGTGTGAACAAAGAACCATATCCTGGGTCTACAAATGTCCTTGCTGGGCACTCTTGGGGGAGTAGAATCATTGGTCCAGTCGCACTGCCCATCTTACTATGGGTAAGTCTGTCCACTAGTTATTAGAATATGTGACTACATTTACTGTATTTGTATGTTTAGGAAAAAATTTCAACTCTGGGTTAGGAATTAGACTGCATTTTGCTTGCTGTGTTGTGTATGAAAAAAATCATTTGGAAGGGGAATTAACTCAGCAATATGTACATATAGCTCATGTAAATGATGGTGTTTAACTACTCTTTTTTGGAAGTACGCAAGATACTCTCAAGAAAGGTGAATATAGATTTTATTCTCAACTTGACTAGCTTCGGCTTTGGTCATGTTTGACAGGCTTCTGGAAGTCTTGGTTCAGAAGGAGAGAGAGTATCAAAACCTCTTACGGCAAACTCTAGAGCAGAAAACGGAAGAGTTACACAGGCTTCAGTTACAGTCCAAGTCTGGAGGTAGGAGGGTTTATATTTGCTTCACACTCAGTTCCAAATGCTTATCAAAGCCTCTTCTTGAATCAGATTTTTATTAAATAGAACTCACTAATTTTGCATGGTTGCAGTTTTAACCTTGGAATAGTCCAGCAGTGTGTCAGGACCCCAAAATGGTTTTAGACCCCATTTTAAAATGGAGTCAATTGGGCTGACGTTAAACTTGCTGGGCCCCAGATTTTAGCTTTGTATTACTTCCCCACCTAGCGGTGGCAGAGCTCTTGTTTGGTTCTCTCCTTGGGGCTGTAGGGCTAAGGCACACTCCACCTTCAATCTCCCCTCCTGTGGTTGTGAAATAACTTATTTGTCAGAAGAGGGTCATGGTACAATGAAGGTTGAGAACCTAAGTAACAATCTAAGACAAAACCTGTGGCCCACAGCAAGGTTTCCTCAATGGGAGGAAATCACCAGGTTGCTGATGCAGAATTGTACAGCTGTCTCAATATTTTCTAGACCAGAAATAGCATGTTGTTGACCTGTTAATTTAATGTATGTTATTACAGAATTGCAAAACCTTCCAAGAGCTCCTGTACAGAATGTAGACCAAGAGCTCCTAGACTGGTTAAGACAACAAGGAGCTGACTCAGATGCAATTGAAAGGGTAAAACACACAAATTAACACTGTTTGTTAGTACTAATTTGATTCAATGAAATAATTTAGGAACAACTCTGCCTTTCAGTTTACTGAAGAGGATTACACACTGAATGATGTCCTTAATGATATCACTAAGGATGATTTGAGATATCTTAGATTACGGTAAGACAATGTTTAAATGCCAACATTGCCCAGAGTACCTGCTTGCCCTTCTATTGGTCTTAACATAAAAATGTCACAGATTACTGTAGTGGCCCTTACAAAAAAAATAAAAACACAAAGCAGCTTGATTGCACTAACTTTTTTTAAAATAGAAAATCCTTAGAAAGGGTTCTTGCTATTGTAATAAACTTAAAAGAAAATGTCAACATTAAATTAGTAGCCCAAGTCTTTTAGATAACTTGATTTAAGACTAATCTTTTCATTATATGATGATTCTCACAAAGCAAGGATGATTATGGGTGGCTTTTCTGTCATTCTAGAAAGTTCATACTCATTGAATGCCCTACTGGTTTTGATAGAGTACCTTTGTGCATAATTACCATATTTTTCCAAAAATTACTTACAGCCTTTGATCGTAAAAGAATTCTTAATAAAAAAAAGCAGATTATTCTTACTCAATATTAATCTCTGGCTGCAATAGAAACGCAGTTTGTATCTAGTGATAGAGCCCAGCTTGCTTTGGTCAGCTGTCCCCTACTTGATATCACAGTGGCACTTCAAAAAATTCTTCAGTGCTGTCCATGAGTACAATTACTAATGTTTTGAATTTTAAATACAATTTCTAATTCTGTTTTAATTTCATCTTTGTAGTGGTGGTCTTCTCTGCAGAATCTGGAATGCAATATTAAACCACAGAAAAATGGCCAATAAGCCCTCAGAAACGAACAGTTGAATCTCAGACAGTACAGCACATTCCAAGCATTTCTTAAATTATTTTATTTTTGCATTTTGCACAGCTAAATGGCCTGTTTATCAATGTAATAATTTAACTTCAAAATATAAGTACAGTCAACTGTAGCACAGCTTTAAGACTGCCCCTAATTTTTTAAAAATGTGTAAAATAAGTATATTAATGTATTTCACCTGCCAATGTAAATATAACTGCAGCTGAAGAAAAGAGCTTGCTGTTTTTAGTAAAAAAAATGCCATATACTTAGAGCTGTCTAAAATGCATTCTAATTTTAGACATGTATAATTCTATCACCTGCACTGAATAAATATCAACCAAATGTATATAAAGGATGGAGAACTTGTATGTGGCTACAAAGGTATCTAGAGTGTCGCTATAGCTTTTTTTTACATTAAATGTTTGCTTTGTGTTGCTATTTTCATTTCCTTAAGTAGTAAATCCAATTTAATAAAAAAATCAAAACACTAGTTTGTAGAAGTCCCTTCTACAGACTTCTGAATTCCAAAGGAAGAAGTTGAAACAGTAGGGTCCTAGCATCTGTTAAGTCCTTACATGAGCAATAAACAAAGTTTTACCACAGATAACTTAAAAATGCTTTCATACCCAAAGCAAATAGGCAGAGACACCACTTTAGTGTTACAATTAATATATTTATATACTGTACATAACATGATTTATTTATTCAACACACAAAGGAGTAACTTTCATAAGTAAAGCAATCCAAAACCACCCATTAAGCAAATTTATAGCAATTGCTTTATCCTAATTCAGCTCCTCACTTATAGGCATCCATAGACGCCTGCATTCTTCTACATAATGTTTAGCTCTCTTTAGCTGAAATTAAGTTTGTTTGGAAAAGTAAAATTGCTATGAACAGTTCATTCTTACAACAAGTACAAAATGTAATCGTTCCGTCCAAAAAAGGCCATAAGGTAACAAGCTGCTGGAGTAATTTTAGCCAATGGACTTGTATTTGATCCACTGACTAGGGCCACGCACTTCAAAAGGGGGCTCATTTTTGTAGATATGGTTGCCTAATTCTTCCAATGATGGTTCTGGATCAGTGGTAGCAAACTGAGCAGCCTCCTCAATTTCCTTCCTTACTTCCACATCAATCTCCTAAAACACAGAAGACCAAGTAAGCTTTGATCGAGAAGCAATGTTAGTTCCTATAAAAGGGGGTAGCAGATGGAATGGTCACTGATTATTGCTGCATTTCTTCCTTTCAGCAAGTAATGCAGCATGAGAAAAGGTCACATCAGAAGATCCATAATCAGACAAACTTCTAGTGGCATTCAATAACTGCAAGATTTGGTTGTAATACAAACATGGGAATTTCAAATGCCTCACAAGATAACACTGGGTCTGAAGTGTAATTTTAGCCTATTATACTACAGGATTCATGATCTCACGCTCTCTTTCCATTACAGCTGCTAACATGTGGTGAGATCTTTTGCAAACTTTACCGGTTAGTTGTTGAAGTTCACTAATGCCTTAGGAAATGGTTTATTCCATCATGAGTGTGTTGAGTGCTAAACTAACTCCTCCCTACAGCACCCAAAGGCTGTATTGCAGTCATTAATTGCTTCTTAGGTCAGTTATTCTTTTGGCATGTTCAGGATACATCTCTTGCAGTCATTAATTGCTTCTTAGGTCAGTTATTCTTTTGGCATGTTCAGGATACGTCTCCACAACAGCATTATTTCAGAACAACATAAAATGCATCTATATAGCAAGCCATTATTTCAAAATATCAAGCCTGGAGGACTTCTTACTCTGACAGCTGTAACCTTTATTTTACGACCATGGTCACCAACCAGTAGATCGTGATCTACCGGTAGATCTCAGGGGCTCTAAGAGTAGCTCTTGAGCCCTCTCTGAACTGCGCACCTGGCCGTACATTTACATTAGATTTCCTCATGTAATGTGGGCGGGGCAGTAGATCTTCGCCTGTTCTGAGACTTAAAAAGTGATCTTGGGTGTAAAAAGGTTGGAGACCACTGTTTTACAAGAAGTAAGGGAAGCTGAAAGAAGAGAGTTCTTTCCTTTGACTTCCTGCTGTGTAGACAGCGCCAAAAGCCAAATTAAGCTATTTCAACTTTTGCCTGCTGTGTAGACATACCCTCAGACTTCTGGTAGTTTTATTAATTTTAACTTTTTTCTAGATTTAACTGCTATTTATGTTCCAGTGATTTGTTTAGTATGACGATTGGCAGACTCACTAGATGAGCTTGGCAGAAATATTTTTTTTTTAGTGTAGTGTACAAAAAAAAACCATGAACTTCAACTTTCAGAGATATGGAGAGGTCAGACAATTATTTAGTGACAATTAACTCTGAGAAAATGTCTGTATGAAATCAAAATATATACAATAAATATTCTTAAGCAGCATTTTTCTCTCACTTTGCCTTTCTGTAAATTTCAATTGAAATATTTTTTCCTTGGGTTTGTGTAAGAATTAAATAATCATCAACATCTAATCCCTCCAGGTTTATTTAAAGAGCACAATTTAAAAATAACCTCCCCTCATCAGGAAATGTATAATGCACCTCAAAATACCCCAAGTACAGTAAAACTCCGGTGGTCCGGCAGCTGCTTCAAGTTGTTAGAGTAATTGATTAACTGTGGCTGGATCCACAGCCAACACGCAGTTAATGTAACTTTCCTCTCTACTGCCGGCAAGGGGGGGCAGGGGAAGGTAGGGGTCGGTGGGAGAGGTGGAGGGAGAGGAGGAGGGGGCAAGGGTGTGCCAAAGCAGCCACATTCAGGACGTTCTGGTCAGTTACAGTCACTCCGGCTGGATCCACAGCCGACACGCAGTTAATGTAACTTTCCTCTCTACCCTACCTTCCCCTGCCTTCTCCCCCCCGCCAGTAGAGAGGAAAATTACATTAACTGCGCGTCGGCTGTGGATCCAGCCGGAGTGATTGTAACTGACCAGAACGTCCTGAATGTGGCTGCCTGCCTGTCACCGCCTCTCCTCTTCCACCACTCGCAGGCTCTGCCTCCCTGTAGCAGGAGGGAGGGTTTGGCACTCCCCCGGGACCTGCCCCTGCCAGAGTACCTCCTGATAGTCCGGCATTTCTGATAATCCGGCACCACCTGGGTCCTGGATTATCAGAAGTCTACTGTAGTAGGTTTTTTTAAAAAATACAAAAACACCCCTTCCCTTCTCCTCTACCCCCATCCAAGAGCTGCCACTCACCTCAAAGTTTGCAAGGGACTATACTGTACCCAATTCTGTTTCTCAGAAACAAAATATATGCAGTAAAATGTAACCTCACTTACATATAGTTTTTACTCAGTTATATAAAACTCCTTTTGTTTAAAGAAGAAAACAATGACTATTTTCATTAATCTCTTATTTCTCACCAATAGCACTGTTAAACAGGCTGAGGGGGAGAACTGTTGGCAGCACCATCACAGGGCCACTGACTACAATGGGCACAGGCCATCACCAAAAGTTGTCTGAAAAATAAACGTAATACCTTCAATTCTTCAATATTAGAAAGATTGTTGTTAACCATTCTGTCCTTCAGCAGAGTAATAGGGTCACTTTTGCTTCTGACTTCTTGAATTTCTTCCCTAGTACGATAGCTATGAGAGAGAAGCAAAGACATGCATTATATAAGTTCCATACACTACCACCAATTCATTCAATTAATGAATACACTTCAACTGCTACTGAAGTAACATGAAAAAAGTAATTATTGGCCTGCAGGCTAATAAAATGATTGTGCTGGGATTGAAAATATGGGTCCAAATCCCACTCTGCTAGACTTTCAGTGAGATTGGGCAAATGACTTATTTCCTCTAAAGCCTCATCTAAGTTGACCAAAGTTATTCTATTCCAGCTACATGGATAACATAGCTGAGATTGACATACTGCATACAGTGTCTATACTCTGCATTGATGGAAGACTCTGTTGACTTCTCTTATCCACTTGTTCCAGTGGAGTACTAGAATTGATTGGAGAATGCTCTGCAGTTGAACTACTAAATCAACCCTTGCTGCATCAATTATTGATCCTCAGTTAAGTGTAGACAAAGGTTATTTCTTTATTTCATGAGGGATGTGTTAATGAAGATTAATTCATCTCTGTCAGATGATGGGGGATTTAAGTACTTAGAATATATTTGTACTGTTATTTTCAAAATTATGGTCTGAGATCTCACAGGTATAACTGGTTAAAACTAAAAACACCCAAAACACAAAAACAAAAAACCCTTAAAGAGGAAGCACAAGAAGGAAGAGAATTCTGCTTTTACACTAAGCTGTGAATAAGAAAATTCTTTGATCACTGAAGAAATTATCAGCCAGCCTTCAGCGACTAACATAAAATATAATCATCTACACATGGAAGGAATAGCATATCAGGATCACCTCTTCCTAGACATTCTCGTCACCTGACATTGTTTTTCCAGTAGCTAGAAAATATTCTTCCTGAAATAAATAATCCACATGGAAACTTTGGCACAATGATCAGTCCTCAGTGTATTTAAAAATGCATGAAGTAGCTAGTGTATTAGGGTGAAATACTAAGATGGCATTTTTCATTCCAAATTAAAGTACTGTTACTTAATTTCTTTACCAAAGGATAATCAGCAGCCTTCCTTGAAAGCATGTACTAGAGAGGTATAAAAAGCAAGCTGTTTTTCAGTTAAAAACCTTCATAAAATTGTGGAAAAAGGAATTTGTTGGTGCAGAATAAACAAGGCCTTCCTGCACATAACATTTTGAAAAATATTATCAGGACTTATGCCACTTCGAAGTATTATGAAGCAATTGAGAGAGAGAGATTAATGTGATGCTTGCAATATAAATCTATGAAGAGACACAAGAGAGCGTTATTGGCTGGTGATGTGTTATTAGGCAATGGGATCTGAGTGATCAAGTTGACTCTCATAAGCAGCAAGATTTCAATTTTAATTTTTTTACATGCCTCAATGTGGATTTCAGAAGGTACCATTTAAAAAGTGTGATGGGTGGCATTAATTTTTGGATTGATTGTGCAAGTACAGGGAGAAAGAGGAAAAATTACTACCAACTTTTCTAGCACTCACTAGGCCTAGTGTATAGATTAACCACTAGAGTAAGTTCACACAATCCTTTTTACTGTACCTGATTCCAGGGTCGCTCATACTGTGTCCATGATAGCGATATGTCTGTAACTCCATCAGCATAGGACCCTGCAAAAATAGTTCATGGATATTTTAATGAGCCTAAAGAGCAACAATATCATACTCTACAGCCCCAAGCATCAGACCATTCTGTGAATAAAACACCGCCAACGCTCCTGTAAACCATCTTTCCAAGTTATCTCTATTCATTACATATGATGTCTTGCAACACAGACAAGAGATATTTCATTATCCTTAAACAATTCCTAGATGGCTCTCAAGAACTTTGGATAAACATGTTGTGAAGGCAATTCAATAACCTCACTTTGCAGCTTGTTCTCACTACCTGGTTCTTAAGTAATTAAACAACATAACACCTCAGCTTCAGAAGTCAGTCCTCCATTATTCTGCAAATTTCAGCTGTATAATATTGTCTTTTCTTTTCAAGATTGTAATAGAGTTGTCCTGGCGCTATCAGTATTAATTATGTCTCTTGTGCTTCTTTCATGCCAGTACACTTCTGGTGTCAAAAACAGTGTTAAAAAATTAGTTCATCCATTTCACCTGCTTCTTTAGAACCAAAGAAGTGGAACACACACTCCAATACAGAAGATCTTCATTGTGATTTTATTCATGTCTGAGCTTGTGTAAGTTACAACCTGTACCATACCCTCCTTAGTTTGACATCCTTGGAACCTGACTAGTCCTGAACCAGGGAATTTGCCAGAGGTCAATGCCGGTTGCCACTGGCTGCCAGGCTCTGCTCTGGTGGCAGCAGAAGGGCTGATATTGACCAAGAAGTGACTGAATGGGTGGAGGGTGCACTAGGAGGAAGATGCAGGAGCAACCAAGCCCTGTGCTAGTCAAGCTGCACTTCTGGACCTCGATGGCAAGACTCCACAGCCACCCTGTCTCTTCAAACATCCCCATCCAGTCCCTGCTCGGTCATTGCTAGTGCTCCTTTGCCACAGGCTGCAGGGCCCCACTCCAGCGGTGGCAGAGGGCCGCTGCTGATGAGGTGGAAGGGGGGCGAGAGGGGAGGCACTCAGGAGAAGAGGCAAGATGGATGCAGAGTCCAAGGAGCACAACCCCATAGGAGCATAAATGTGGCAGCTGTGCTGCACTCCAGCCTCTTTCCCCCGAGTGTCCTCTGTCCCTGCTTCTCCCCATCCCTGAGCTTATGGCATACTGGAAGCTCTGGAAGGGCAGGAAAGGAATTGCTGAGCGGGTAGGCTAGCTTTTCCTCATGAGTCCTCCAAACCACAAAGTTCTCACAAGGATGCTGGACCACAGATAGCAGTCTGGACCATAGAGATTGAACCTGTTTTTATTCTTCCTGGGTGTCTATCTCACAAAAATTTACTTCAGTTATTTTATATTTGTTGCAAATATAACAGTATTGTTACCTCTCCCATCCCCACACACTGACCTTTTAATTGGTATAGACAATGTTTAAAATGTAAATATTCTAAGCAGAAGACATACAATGGATGACAATACATGCTTTTTAGTTGTAATATGATTTTTTTACTTTTACCATTATTAATTGACTTAAAGGCTGTGTCTACACTGGCATGAATTTCCGGAACTGCTTAAAACGGAATACTATTCCGTTTTCAGTTTTTCCCTAAAAGGAGTGTCTACATTGGCAGGCTGCTTTTCCGGAAAAGAGCCCCGGTCGCCATTTTCGCGATCGGGGCTTTTTTCCGGAAAAGACTACTGGGCTGTCTACACTGGCCCTTTTCTGGAACAGTGTTCCGGAATAAGGACTTATGCCCGAGCGGGAGCAAAATAGTTTTTCCGGAATAGCAGCTGATTTTGTACAGTAAAGCGTCGTTGCTTTTCCGGAAATTCAAGGGCCAGTGTAGACAGCTCGCAGCTTATTCCGGAAAAGCGGCTGATTTTCCGGAATAAGTGGCCGAGTGTAGACACAGCCAAAGTGTTTAGACAGTCCATTTCTGGAAAACAGAAAAAAAAAATCTGATCAAATAATTATATAAACATGTTTGACACTAAGTTTCCTTAATTGAGAAGAGATGCAAAGAGAATTTCAAAACGTAATTTAAACGGAGAGTACTGGCTAAGGATGAAATTTTGTATGTGGGAATAATATAGCACAAAATAATTCATAGTAAAGGACTGATATTGAGTAACTTACTTTTCCAGATCTACAATAATCAGCTGCAAACTTCGTTGCTTCCCTCACACAAAGAATATCCATGCCATCTACCTGTTAAAAGAAAAGTTTTTAAATTAAATAACAAAAAAGACATCAGAAGGTGAACCAAAAATCTAAATGCCTAGACGCAGTATGAATTCATGATCTCTAATAATCTGCTCCATTATAAATATGGAAAAGACGGAAATCGTTCTTACTCTTATTCCTGGAATGAAGTCTCCTCTTTTGTAGTAGTCAGTGCTGGCTGCAGCTCTCTCTACAGAAGTACCCATTCCATACCTGTTGTTCTCGCAAATGAAAATGCATGGCAGCTTCCACAAAGCTGCCATATTATATGTTTCAAATATCTGACCCTGAAAGAAAAACAGTTGGTATGTAAGTTGGGTCCTTCTTTGGATTCTTTGATTTTTAAGCATCAAGGTCTACAAGGTCTTTCACTTCCAACAAAGGTCTGATAGTGAATTTAAATTCTGAATCAGTTCAGTCTAGAAAGAAGAAAATCATAGAATCTAAGATCTACAGTTCATCTTAATCTGTATGTAATAAAACACTATTAAAAAAGAAGTATCCCAAGCCCATAGATAACCACCATCAGGATAAACTGGAACATCAAAGAAGTCAAAACCCTAAAATATTTTCAATAGAAAATTACATCAATAAAAGCAAAGTTGGACTATACATGTAAACTAAAGTGGAACAGTATCATTACATCAATAAAAGCAAAGTTGGACTATACATGTAAAATGATACTGTTCCACTTTAGTTAACTAAAGTCCCAACAATTCTGTTGTATTATCTACTGTATGCAAGTAAAGGTCACAAAAAGGGTCATCACTTGAGAATCTCCATTTACCAGTGGAAAGTGAGATGGCTTCCACAGCTGTGGGGAGAGGAGATACTAAAGCACAGATTTCTGTATAAATTGCTACAGTTAAGTTTCTAGCCATTATTGCAAAAAGTAACCTTTCATACATGAATCAAGTGTAAACTAGTGAGTTGCTATGCCCAATCCTAGGTCTTATGAATGCTAATGCACATGGATTTCCCCCAAGCACCAACAGAGCAATGTCAGAAGAAAATTAACTAGGGTTGTCAAATGATTTAAAAATTGCCGTTAATTGTGCTATTAAACAATAGAATAGTATGCATTTAAATATTTTTTATGCTTTCTATATTTCCAAAAATATGTATTTTAATTACAGGTTGTACCTCCTAAAGGTGTCAGACCAGGGACCTCACCAGTCCTGAATGATGGAATTTGCCAGACTGGGGAGGTCCCTTGCTGCTGGCTTCCTAGTTCAATGCTGGCTCTGCTTCCAGTCCCAGTTGAGCTGCCTGTCAGTGATCCCAGCCCAGCTCCTCTGCTGGACTGCTCCCCCTCCCCCAACACACTGTCAAGTCCCTGGCTTCAGCCCCGGCTCCTCTGCTCACCCGGCCCTGCCTCCCCTGCCAGGCTGCTGCTAGCCCCACCAGCTTCCTAGCCCAGCAGGGCTTCCAGGTGCTAGCTCTCTTGCTCTGTGACTCCCGGCTCCCAGGGCTCTCTGGCCTGGGAACATGTTGCTGGACCAGAGAGACCCAGTTTAGGGAAGTGCAATCTGTACACAGAAAACAAAGTGCACATAGTTATTACAAAGATTTGCACATTAAACAATACTATTTCTCAATTCCTCCATTTTAAATATTGTATTGCAATCTCTATCATGAATTTACAAATGTAGAATTATGTAAAAAACCTTGCATTCACAAATAAAAATGTAGAACTTTTAAAGCCTATAAGTCCACTCAGTCCTATTTCTTGTTCAGCCAATTGCTCAAACAAGTTTGTTTACATTTACAGGAGATAATGTCCACTTCTTGTTTATAATAATCACCTTAAAGTGAAAAATAGGTTTTTGCATGGCACTGTTCTATCCAGCATCACAAGATATTTGCAGGTCCAATGCCCTAAAGATTCATGTCCCTTCATGTTTTAACCACCATTCCATGTCCATGCTGATGACAGGTTCTGCTTGATAACTATCCAAAGCAGCAAAGCCCAACACACGTTCATTTTCATCTGAGTTAGATTTTACCAGCAGAAGATTCATTTTCTTTTTTTGGTGGTTAAGATTCTGTAATTTCTACATTGGAGTGTTCCTCTTTTAAGACTTCTAAAACATTCAGATTTTGGAAGGCACTTCATATTCTTAAACCTTGGGTTGAATGCTGCAGCTATCTTTAGAAATCTCACATTGGTACCTCCCTTGCATTCTGTCAAATCTGCTATGAACATTTTTCTAAAACAAATCTTCTGAGTCATAATTAAAGACATCTATAACATGAAATATGGAAGAATGGTGGCAACACAGATCAGAAGATATACAATTCTTCCTCAAGGATTTCAGTCACAAATTTATTTTATGCTTTTTTTTTTTTTTTTAATAAGCATCATCAGCATGGAAGTATTTCCTCTGGAACGGTGGCTGAAGCAAGAAGGGGCAAACAAATATTTAGCATATCTATCACGGAAATAACTACAAATGTCATGTGAATGCCTGTTTCCACATTCAGATGACATTGTAAATAAGCAGCAGACAGCATTATGTCCTGTAAACAAACATACTTGTTTGTCTTGGTTACTGTCTGAATAACAATTAGGATTTGCAGGCACTAAAGTTTTACTGTGTTTTGTTTTTGAGTGCAGTTACGTAACAAAAAAAAATAATCTACATTTATAAGTTGCACTTTACAATAAAGAGACTGCACTGCAATACTTATATGAAGTGAATTGAAAAAATACAGCTCATTTTTAGAATGCAAATATTTATCAAAAATAAAGTGAACAGTGTTGTAACTGAAATCAATATATGTGAAAATATAGAAAAAATCCAAATGATTTAACAAATTTCAATTGGTTTTCTATTGTTTAACTGTGCAATTAAACAGGTCATTAATCACGTTTTTTTTTTTAATTTAACTGATTAATCGACAGCCCTAAAAGTAACACTTCAGAACTCTGGATGGCAGAGAAACTCACAAATCATGTCAACATCATGCTTCTCCTACTTAGAAAAGTCATTAGCAACAGCAGAAGCAGGTACTGCTCAGAGTAAGTCTAGTGTATGCAAAGACATCTTCCTTAGCACTTGCCGGCTGAGACAGAGAATGGCGAAGACCCAACCCCACTCCCTCACAGCTTCCTAGAGAGGAAGAGAGAGCTCCAGTAGGGGGAGTGGTGGAGAATATGGCACTTCAAAATTATAAGAAAGCGCCTATTAGCAATAAGTTTAAATGAAATATGTGCTCCCAAACAGGTTCAACACCCTGCTAGGAATTCCAGGATCCTTTGCACTTCCAATATGTGAAGAACCATTAGGATGAAGACTTCCATCACCACCACCACTTCCCTTGCCCCTTAAATATATAGTGGATTTCAGAATTTGGAAATTTTAAGTTTGGAAAATTTGTAGTTGAGAGAGTTTGTCTATGCCTCTGTGCGTGCATCTGTTTGTTCCAGAACTACTTCTAAACAGTAAGAGCTAGGGCCACCAAATTTGGTACATAGCTTCATCTTATTATAACTTAAAGCAAGGTCAGGGTTTGGTTGTGCCAAGAAAACAGGATGTGCCCAGAAGGGGATAAAACCAATCAGCAGGCTTCCTACATGTACCAGCTCCCGCACCTCCCTTCCCCTCCCCACCTGCACTGTTGCCTCAGATTCAGAAGTAGCAGCGCTGGAAAAAAGGGGGAAAAGAAAGACAGATAGCTCAGTGGGAGTTGGTATGCGCAGGGGTGAGGCAGTGCTGGGGGGAGGCGCATGTACATGGCCTCCTGCCTCTCTCTTCTCCCTTCCCCTCTGCCTCTGTATCAGATGGAGGGGGTGGTGGTGTGTAACTGAGAGTTAACAAATGAGCCCAGGCTTATCAGTTAACCGTGTATACAGGTACACATTAACTTCCCTACTTCTCACCTGTCCCCAAGGTCCTACAGTAGAGAGGCCTGGGGCAGCTTGAATACTGTACCTCTTTTCTCCAGCCTCACCCCAGAGCAATGATTTAATGAAGAGAAACAAAAAATTGTGTTAAAAGACCCAAGCAAACAGTGATCTTATTTTGTGAAGTAGGGAGCTACCTGCTGGTGAAAGCTGATGACATCCCTTTTGTGTATTGAGAGAGTAAAACAAAAATGAATTCAGTTATGCACCCGAGCAATGCCGGGTCAATCTAGTATTTACAGGCAGTCCCTGTCTTACAAACGGGTTACGTTCCAAACACCTGGTCGTAACTCGATTTGGTCGTAAGTCGGAAATACCCTTAAACGTGCTGTTCGAAAAACTTGACATACATGGCTCTCAACTCAAAAATATTATAATGGGGCTAATGGGAGGTTGGTCGTCAGTACAGATGGTCGTAAGTCAGTGTGTTCGTAAGTCAGGGAGTGGCTGTATATAACTCAGTGTGAAGCCTGAAAGTGCGCAGACAAAGTAGCAGCCTGGCAGTGACCAAAATGTATCTGGTAACTGCTCAGTAATTTACACAACATGACTTTGGCTCTTATCTAGTTATCAGTAGGCAACTGTCTAAATTATAAAGCCCAAAAAGCTGCCAAACTTACTGACTTCTACATACAAGTCACAAAATGATCGAAAATGTCAACAGCGTATACAGAGAACTACTCTTACTATACACATTTAAATCAAGAAAGCTCACCTGATTGGCAGCACCATCTCCATATAAAGTAAGACAAATCTCATCTTTGCCAAAATAGTTACAGGCCAAGGCAATCCCAGCTCCAAGAGGAACCTATGTGAATTATACAATACAGATTTAACAGGCCAAATTGGTATTTTCAGAGCTACATTTGGAAAAGTTGGAGACAGACAGCTATGAACTATAAAAATTAACTGTTTAAATGTATGCAACTGATGATGAAAATAACTACAAAGGCTGTTAACTCATTTCCATAAGATTTGATTCCTATTACAATCAAAATCTAAACTCGGGTTTTCACATAGCATTAAATAATATCAATAGTTTAATCTCTTATCTGTTCAGCAATATGTTTCAGTTTGTGAAGAATTAAGTGGAAATGAATTTAGAATATGGTCATGTCCAGCAATAACTGTTGCGGGCAGATTTATAGTAAGAAAAGTAATGCTGGCACAAAGTATTTAAGGGAGATATAATTTGATTTTTAAATGTTAGCATATTGTATCATTTACTATACCTGAGCGCCAACAATGCCATTGCCACCATAGAAGTTCTTAGCATACATATGCATTGATCCTCCTTTTCCCTTAGCACATCCTCCTTTTCTACCTAAAAAGTGTAGGCATGTAATGAAAAGACAGACCCTTTTCCAAAGAGGCTGCATTTTAAGTATCTGACAAGATAATAGGGCTATAAACAGATGGAGAACATAAAAAAATACTGCAACAACTACATCTATTAAACACTAAATGAGATTAGTGAGAGAAATGGAAAACATGTACTGGAACAGTCCCATTCATTCTATAACATCTTAGTATTTTCTATCAAGAAAGATCTTATTTGTGTTCAGACAACCCCTGCTATAGCAAACAACATGTGTTAGTCACAACCTAGTGTAAATATGGTTCCTGAGAGAAAGGTTCTAACATGGGTTTTCCTGACTAGTCTAATTTATTATCCCAGCTTCACTGTAGCAATTACTATAGAAAGAGTACCATCTTATAACCAAGTTATCCCTGGTAATTCCTTTGTGCATTATAGATAAAGCCATGCTATGCTACAGCTCTCGCAAAGACAAAAGCAGTAGTACAACTCAGGGCCTGAACCAACCAAACTGCAGGACTGGAGGGTCTCAAACCCTATCATGAATAAATAAGGTCTACCAGAAGCACAGTTTAGATGGGATCTATTGCACAAATAATAATAAAGCTACTGCAGCAAGACATGCTTCTAGGTAATGCTTGTGTATTGAGTCTATGATATCAAGCTTCCAGGTTAACTGAAAAGAATAGTATTTTGTATTTCTTACTCCAAGTCAGAAGGAGAATCTGAGTATTAGTTACCCTGTGACTTTACTGAGTGGCATCAGGAGAAATCACAGAATGTTGCGACATCCCATGTCCAAATGTATTTAGTATGTCAGACAGTTTAGATCAGTAGCTTCAGGAGGTAGCCGAGCCTGTTGTTTTTTCTGTAACAGACTAATGGTTTGATAGCACTTTATACACTTACAAAACATGTAGATGGTATCATGAGCTTTCGTGGGCACTCTGGTCATCTGAAGAAGTGGGCTGTATCCACGAAAGCTCATGATACCATCTACATGTTTTGTTAGTCTATAAAGTGCTATCAGACCATTTGTTGTTTAGATCAGTGATACTCAAGATCTCGGTTTCTCAAGAGCTACTGTACAGCAATATGGCTGGGTACAGCAATAGTTGTTGCAGGCAAGTTCATAGTAAGAAAAGTGATGCTGGCACAGAGCATCTAAGTAAGATATTATTTGATTTTAAAAAGTTAGAACTTTGCATACTGTATCATTTACCTTGCCTGAACCTGAGCACTCAAAAAAGTCACAGTTGTGTGAATTCATGGTTTCATTTACTCTAGTACCATATACAGGCAGTCCCTGGGTTACGTACAAGATAGGGACTGTAGGTTTGTTCTTAAGTTGAATCTGTATGTAAGTCGGAACTGGCATCCAGATTCAGCCACTGCTGAAACTGACCAGTTTCAACAGCGGCTGAATCGGGGAAGCAGGGGGCAGAGCAGCTCCAATTGTCTAGCTGCCCGGAGCACTTCCGGTTCCCGATGGTGCCGGACCATCAGAGGTGCTGGAGCATTGGATGGCGGACAAATGGGGTTCTTA